GACATGTACCTGCCAGGCGGGCACAGGGCGCACACCTGCACCACCTCACTGAGCCCCCACAAAGCCTGACGAGGCAGGGCCTGTGAGCACCCCATTTTATGGGTGTGGTAAGGGACACGCTGAGAGCTTAAACAACTTGCCTGAGATGACCCAGTTATCAAGAAGCCGAGCAGTAATGCCAACCACCCCAGCCTGACTCCAAAGGCGTCAAATGTAACGATACCTTATATCCATGTTCTGCCCTCACAGTGCGACCTCCTCCATCGCACCTCCTGCCCTTGGACCCCAATTGCCACAAGCATGTCTTGGAGTCCCTCGGCCCTGAAGGCCTCCCTCCACCCACTGTGGGTGGCACCCCATGCTGCCAGTTCATCCCCAGCCTGTGTCAACGCCTCACCCCTGCTCCACTCCACCCTCCTGCTACTGAGCCAATGCAGACCACTCCTGTGGGGCAGAGGGGGCCAGGCAAAACGGTGGTCTTGGAGTGCCAGCACCCCTTTCTGGTAAGTCAGTCCCACCCCAGATCCCCCCACCCACCACAGCTTTACTTCCAGCTTCACAGAGCAAATCTACCTTGTCAGGCAGCAACCTCAGGCACCTTTTAAAAACTGGCACAGTCTACACACAAGGTGTTTCTGCTGCTCTGAGAAACTCACCTCCCACCTGCAGCCCATCCCACCTGCCCCTGGGGGTCTGCTCTGTCAGGCTGTCACTGCTGTTTATGAGGGTGTCCACAGGGCAGAGGAAATGTTAGAGGATGTCACAAGAACAAAAACCCATGCTCTTCTTGGTTTTGAAGGTAGAAAAATACTCACAAATTGGATGAATACTTGTTCTGTAATCTAAGGTGACCAGAAGTCTTAATTTATGTATTATGTAATTTTTAAATGACACAGATTTCTGTAAAAATACATTAAATTGTTACATAACGCACATAATGTTACGTAGGGAAAGCTATTGTGGAAGGGAAAGTTTTCAGTGTTCATTAAAATACTTGGATCTACACCTTTTCTAAATGGAAAGAACATGGGTATGAATATTTATAAGATGAAAGCCCAGAGGCCTCACTAGACAGACCTCGGAGTTCTGAACTCCAGAAGTTGTTCATCACAGGGACCGTCTCCATGGGAGGCCAGAAGTCTCACCCGCTCGGACATCTTCAAGCTGCCCAGAGGCTCCGCAGCCTGGGGCTCTCTAAGACCTCCCTCCGTCCCATCCAGGACTCCTGTCTCCTTCCCTGATCCCATCACTTTCTGGACTCCTGCAAATAAGCACACCTAGTTCTGGCCCAAGCACTGCCTGTGATAGCCTCCGTGAGGGCCTCCGTTTCCTCATCTCTGCAGTGGACACCGTGCCCTGCAGGCAGAGCTCCCCACGACCTTGCTTTCTCTCTAGAAGTACCTGATCCTGAGTGCTAAGGAAACAGGCATATGGAACCTGCTGCATGGGCAACGAGGAAGAGAAAGCCGTCTAACTATTACCCTGCCGCTCCAGCCCCCCACCCCCTGCCCTCCCCCTCCCCTTGCCTCTTCCTCCCTACCTGCTACCCTCCCCCCTGACCTCTGCGGGCCTCCACTCTGGGCCCTCGGCCTGGACCTCCTCCTGCCCACCCACCTCACCCAGCCACGCTCCCGTCTCTCACCAGCTGTCCCCCTCCCTGCTCCGGAGCCCACAGGTCTGCTGCCTGCACAGGCACCCTGATGGCCCTGCCCTGCCAGCCCCCCTTCCCCTCCCTCCCTCACCCCTGACTGCCTGGCCTCCCTCTCTGCCCTTCACTCTTCATGTGCCCGGGACCTCCTTTCTGGCCGTTCTCTGGCCTCCAGCTGCCTGGGCAGCCTGCTCACCCACCCCCTCTCCCCCTACACAGTCCCCTCCTCCCGCCCTCTCCCCTCCCTTGAGCCATCCTGCTAGCAGTCCCAGGGGCCAGGGGCCAGGGGCCCGTGTCAGGCACCTGGACCTCTCCAAGCTTCGGGAGTCAGGCACCTGCCAGGCACAGGGAGCGGCACGCAGTGGGCCGCTGCAGGCCCTGGGGCCACTCCAGGAAGCCTCCGTCTTCACAGTGAGTTCTCAGCCATCTGGGGGTCTGGTCCATGTTACTGGGTGGGTGCCCCTCCTCAGGACGGTGAACAGGCCAAAGAAAACATACAAACTGCTTCGTGTCCACCCTGGGGCCCCCCTGGCTCGCAGAATCACCACCGGAAGGAGGCGGCTGGGCTTAGTGGACTGGGGCTCTGCAGGCTCTGCCCCTCCCTGTGGCTGGGCACAGCCCTCCCATTCACAAGGAGCAGTGGTGCCCTGTGCCTGGGACGTACCACTGCCCAAACCAGCCTCCCAGAAGGCAGTGATGGGGGCTCCCTTGGGCGGGGGACCGGCTGCCTGGCTGGGGAGGCTGTGGCGGCAGGAGGGACGAGCCCTGCTCCAAGGAATTGGCTGGTGGAGGCTTGGAGGGAGCCGGGTGGGTGGGCAGCCTGGGTCCTTCAGGGGAGGCATTCCCAGGCCCTTGCTGCCCAAACTCAGCCTCAGAAATTCCTGATTTAGGTTTCTGAGGTCACACCTACAGCCACCCTCAAGCATCCTGCCACCCCGGAAGTACTGGGCCAGGCTCTGGACACCCACCTCGCCCCCACCCACCTTGCCTGCCCGTATTGTCACCTGCGGTCAGGCTCTTTCCTTGTCCACCTCATACACTTTCCCTTTCAGTGTCAACAGCCCCATTGCCTCAACAGGGGGCAGCCTCGGTGTGCAGGAACCCCTCACTGCCCGGCTTCTCCACTGCCCCCTTTAACACAAAAGGCTAATTTCTCTTTCCCCAGGTGACAGAACCTGGTGGCTTCTCATGCAGCCTGGCTCTGGAACCATAAACCTTGGTTGATAACAGATCAGGACCTCCCCATACCTCTCTCACCAACAGACAGTGCAATAAGCTCAAGTTAAATGTTTGGGTCCCACACGCTCAGCCCCCTGGCCACTTGAGCTTTTTCTGCCTCAGGACCTCTGGGAGGTGGGTATGGAGACCAAACATGAGGTGCCCTACCGCTGTTACCTGCACCAGTCTCCATGGAAAGCCCCAGCCCCAAGCTCTTGGTGCCAGGGAAGGTGGGCGTGGGCCAGAAGTAGTGGGAAAACTCCGCCTTGGCCAGTTGTAGGGTGGGGAGCAAAATCCCCCAAACTCATCCGGCTCTAGGTCCCCACACAAAGCCCTCAGGCATCTGAGGTCGCCCCCTGGGCAAAAGGCAGCTTCCCAAGGAGGCCCCAGATTGTTACCTGGGGTGGGAGAGGGTGGCCAGGGCTTTGGGGAGTCCCAGGACACTGGACTTCCAGCGTTAAAACCAGGACAAGTCCCAACAAAGAGGGAACGAGCTGGCCTGCAGGGCTGAGAAGCTGTGGCGACCGGCCCCTCTCTTCATCCCGAGACTGTCTCTCCCAGACTCTGCCCCCAGGGAAGGACACTGTCCTGTTGGGTGGTCAGCCCAGGTCCCTGCTTCCAGCTGCCTGTGCCCAGGAGGCCCTGCTCCTCCGAGGCTCCGGGTGCGCAGGGGGGCCTCTTTCCTCCACCTGCACAGATGAGCACACACAGGCCCCTTCACTGTGGAGATGCCTGGGTCTGAGAGAGGGTAAAAGACGCTTGGCCCAGGTGTGGCACTTTTCCTCTCTCCCTCACAGAAGACCGACAGGCACCGGGTTTCAACAGCACAGTGACCACATTTCCAAGCCAAGCCTCCCGGTGCCATGGTCAAAGGGGCTGTGTGTTTCCTTGGGCTGTCCCTTCTTTGTCCGTATGTGGAACTGTCTGGGACACAGCAGAGAAGGGGCTTCAGGCCACATGAAGCAGGCCAGTCTCAAGAAAGGAATGTATAAGCCACCCCCAGCCCCAACCCAGCCTCCTGTCCAGATGAGGGGCCCAGGCAGCAAGAACTGACAGGACTCCACAAGTCTGTTCAGTACTTCCTCCGCCAGGAAGACTTTCCTTCTTAAGTGGCCCCTAGGGGGCCTCAAACGGGTGCCACACCACCTTGCCATAAACAGGGCTTTGCCCACTTCCAGCACGCAGAATGATCGTAGTGTGTGCTGTGGTCTTTGCTCAGACCTCCACAGGCTCACGGCCAGGACTGTACACTTCTACCCTGAGATGCACACACCCAGATGTACACATGGACACGGCGGCACACACACCAGAGACATACCCTAACCTAGAGACACACACGTAAACACGTCCAAAGATACGTGCACACATAAGAGGCACGAGGACTCACACACACAAAGGGCACCCACATAAGCTTATGCTTCTGCAGACACACACAGCCACATTCACATCCGAAAACACAAGAATTTGTCAAATCACACAAAATCACAACCAGACAAATCACACAAATGTGTAAGGAGATCCCAAGTCAGAAAAATATCCCCCCCCCCACCCACAGAACTACACACTCTTAGACAGGCACACCCTGATCACCCAGACCCCATGCAGCTCCATCACCTCTGGCTGGTTCGTTATCTCCTTTCCCTCCCCATGGCCACAGTCCTGGCCCCCCAGGCATCCCTTACCGAAGGCCCTTAGTAGGAGAAAAGGTGGTAGGTCACTCAAGAGTGACACCCAGCGGGAACAGAGCGAGGGTACAGAGCCTGAGCCAGTGACAGGGAGGTATGAGAGTTGGCTTCCCACTATCAGACACAAGGTTCCCTCGAATGGCGCCCCAGGCCTGGGTGAAGCCCCCAGACCTCCCAACCACCTTAGGATGCAGTTGGAGAAGAATATGAAAATACTGTTGCAAGCTTGCATTCAGAATGTCATTAAACCTAAAAGGTTTTCAAAGAGTCCCAAACCCAATAAAACAACTAAGGAACGAATCCTATGAAGAATGATACATGAGAAATGAAGAACATACTGCTTACAGAAGTGAAATACGTGGTTAATGATGGTGTATCTTGCGTGAAAGAGTTGTATTTGATTTTTAGCTATGTGGAATAATACATAAGCAATAATATAACTAAGAAAATTAATTTGGAAAGAATTTTTTTTTACTACAAAATTTGGCCGCAAACAAACAAGCATTTGATGCACTAATAGGAAATACATAGGAAAGAAAATGCTAGTGAAGAGAGGAAAATGAGAGAGTGGCAAATTCATTTTTCCAATGCTTCTGTAAAACGGGCAAATAAAAATTAAATATAGCCACAAAGAATAAAGTTACAACCTCAAGTACTCAGATATCTTCTTCTCAGAACAGAGTGGAATTTTGTAGAAGCAGATTTACTGAGTTTGACTCAGTAAAAGAGGACACCCTCCTGCTAGTTTGCCATTTCAGTAAAGTCCAACTTTTCATTTCAGTTCACCAATAAAAAAGATTTATTGAGGACCTGCTATGTGAACAGCCCTTGGGATGCAAAGATAAATAAAACATTCCTTATATTCTAAGGCTTCTTGGAGAATATGAGGTCTGAACTGGTGGCAGAGACACAAAGAAGAAAACGTGAATCTCAGGAGCGGTTGGAACTGATGGGCAAGGGAGCCGAATGAAGCAGGTGAGGGAAGGGGTGTGGAGTCAGCAGTGACTCTGAGGTCTCTGGCGCCGGGACCAAAGGGCTCCGAGGCTGGGCTTGGGGGAAAGCACTTCCACTGTGGACCTGAGAGTTTAGAGGGCACAGAGATGCTGTGCCCACCACCATGGAGAGCCAGAGTGAGGATGGTCAGTGTAAGGATGGTGGAGGAAGCTTGTGGGATTGTAGCAAATACCGTGTAGTATGAGGAAATAATCAAGGAGCTCACATGGGAAAGAGAACTCTTGAAGGGGTTGGCAGAGAGAGAGGGACCAGGAAGGCAGAAAAAATTTGGCTGGAGGGAGGGCTGCCAGTCACAGAAGCCAGAGGAAAGACGGAGGCCACGTGCCAGCCAGCATGTGGAGAAACCTGGCAGGGAGCCGGCGGCCAGCACGAAGTCTTATGTGACAACATCAAACATCTTGTTGACAGCAGCACCGTCCGTGAAGGAGCTGCCATAGGGGCGGTTCGGAGGATCAACTGTCTACAAAAACTTTGGGTCCAGGATGATCCCTAAGAATAAATTAGTTGAAGCATATCATAATACAAAAGTAAATTATTAGAATCTCATTTGAGTTATCACTCAAGTTATCATGGGCTTATTAAGTGGTTTGGCTGGAAGCTAAATGGAAAGGAATCAATTGTGATGATTCCACTTATGCTTATAATATAAAGGAATATAAATAGCGATTGTTTTGGTCTAAACTGAGCCAGATCTCCGATGCCAACAAAAAGTTTCCCTAGTCTTCTAAGTGTATTAATACATTTTAAAACACATGTTAACAAATTAAACACAAGTTTAACAAATTTTAAACTGGTTTCCTTGAATAAGATGGCCATGATTTTAGGTTGGGCCTTACAACATATTCTGGAAGCATTAAGTAAAAATGCAGTGCAGCTGACCTTTGAACAACACGGGTTTGAACTGCCATGGGTCCACTTATATGAATACTTTTTAAAAATAAATATATTGGAAAAAATTTTTCAGAGATTTTTTGACAATTTGAAAAAAACATTTTGATTTCTCTTTATTGTAAGATTATGGTATATAATACACACAACATATAAAATAAGTGTTAATTAACTGTTATGTTATTGGTAAGGCTTCCAGCCAACAGTAGGCTATTAGTAGTTAGGTTTTGGGGGAGTCAAAAGTTATAGGCAGATTTTGGCTGTAGGGGGAGTTGGTGCCCCTAGTCCCCTAGGATGTTCAAGGGTCAACTATATAATAATTTACAGTTTCTTGTTTTATGGTTTCTGGGTTAAAATGTGAGAAATTGAAAAAGTCTTGCCCTGACTTGTTTTAAAAAATATCATGTTGCAAAGGCCTCATTGAGGAGAATGGTCAATGCTAACTTCCCCAAACCTGTAAACTGTGCAGCACAGACAGATGCCATCAGAATCACCAGACAGAATAGAAAAATTTACCAAAGAAGCAAGATGTTTGAATCTTTTAAAGTTGAGTTAGTTGTTCTCATATCAATAATTGGAGCGTCGTGTGAAACCTCTCATAAAATGCTGGCAGGCAAGGACCTTCTGTACTGCCCCTTGAGGAAGTGAGACCAGGATGGGCTTCATAGAGAATTGATTTTCTTTACAAAAGACCATGTAATTCTGTTTACTCCTTCTAAAATATATAAGAAGCATGATCAAAGTTCTCTTTCTGTAACTACCAAAACACGGTTGAGCCAGCCCTGCATACCTTGGTCTTTTGCCCTGTTTTTCTATGAAATGGTTTAAATATTTTAAATTGCTCTGAGAAAATTTGTTATTTCCTGAGGGTGTCCCATGCCGGAAAAGCTGGGGCAGCCTGGCTGGTGTTGCAGATGCTGGGATCAGGAGAGTGCGGGAAAATACACTTTCATCTTAATTCTACCAGCTCTGGAAATTATGAAACTCTTCCGGAATCCAAGCCGCAGACAAAGTGCAGAGACTGGAGCGGGCTCTGGGCCCTTGCACCCAACAGTCTCCCATTACTGGGACAGCCATAAGCGTTCCATGGTGTCTCACAGCCTTTCCTCTTTTTCATTTCCCCTGGACAGCAGAAGGGTAATATTTTGGGTGGGAGGAAATAAGGCCTCCAAGTTCAATGACTTGTTCATAAGAACCGTGACTCCAGCTGCATCTGTTCGGAGCTCAGTAAAGAACTCTTAGCTAAGTAGGAGAGACTGACCTTTCTTAAGGGCTCATTAAACATTGTCCCCAAGTAGCACTGGGGAGGAAAATCAGCTATGACATGGCTCCCACCTTCTCACCTGGGGTCAAAAGCATCACGCACAGAGGGCTCTCTTAAATGGGTAAGTTGCAAGATGGAGGGTGGCAGACTGGCCATCAGTGAGTCTCTCTGGAAACGTCTTCCCCCTATCTCTCCATTGCCTGCAGCCCTGGGGCCGGGGCTGAGCCTTCGGAACTCACTGTTACCATTACCCCCAGGCAGGGGCTGAGGAACTCCAGGGGACACTGCTCCTTTCCCATGGGTCCAAGGAACAGGATCATTGGTTCCCTTCCTTGCGTGGACATTGCAAGCTCTGTCCTTGGTCAGCCCTGTCTGAGATGCTGGTGTCCAGGGGACCCGGGAGGTATCACAGGTCACAGTAAGAAGGGAGAGTCCTCAGGGATGGGTCAACTTGGAGCCTGGGAGTGATGAGCCCCAGATGATTCCCAGAGAAGTTTCCAAACCAAAAAGGGTGGGAGTGGTCTGGAATGTTCTTCATAGAAGCAGTCCACTTCTGTTGCCCCAAGAAGACTGTATCCTCATGCTGCCTGGCTCCCTAGGGCCACAGAAGTCTGGGGCTCCATGGACATTCATAGCAGCATCTCCTAGAGCACCTGAACAGGAGAGGCTGGTGGCCCTCTGACATCAACGTAAAGGTGTCTGAGGGTCTTTGGCAATGACAGGGGCCCAAATGTGTCCATTTACCTCACTTAGAAGAGGGGGAGACCAGGAGTGCACACCTAGAGCCTGAAGTGAACAGAGAGGTCCCCCTTTTGATCTGGAGAACTGCTGTGCATGCTCATATATGTGGTGTGGGTGTGCGTGCATGTGTGCACACGATGGACAGGAGGAAGCTAAGGGTCACGACTCAGGTGCAGAAGTGTGGAAGTGGGCATAGCGGGCAGGGCAGATCCTTGTTCTGAAAGCAGGGTCAGTGCTGCCCACCCAGGCAGCAAACAGGCTACAGCAGTGAGGGGCCCACACACTAAAGTGACATCAGTCAGGTCCTTGTGGGGTGAGGATGTATCTGGGGACCATCCACCCCCACCCTCCAGACATCTCCCTGGCCTGTCTCCCACCCCCAGCAGTTCTTGGAGCTATTTCCAGCAGACCCAGGGCCAAGGTGTCTTGCTGGGCTCCAGGAAGAGCAAGTCCTCCCACCCTTGGACTGGGTGGTACCCCCAGAGTCCTGCCATGTTGGACCAGGGGCATGCAAATGGCCTGGGAAAGCCAGAACCTCCCTGGAGTAGGTTCTTACCTGGCTCTTTGGCCTGTGTCAGGACCTGGGCCCAGCAGAGGTTCTGCTCCAGGTAGGACCTACTCCCAGGGCAGATGGTGGGAGAGAGGACGGACCAACTACTCAGGAAGAGTCTTGTGGAGGGGGGTCCTCACACTTCATGCAGCTCCCCCTACTCGACATTAGAATTCAGAACTCAAGGTTGGGATTTCCCTGCAGACTGCATTCATTTTATAATCATTTGCAAACTTCAGGCCATCAGTGGGGAAGATCTGGGCTCCCCGGGCCCACAAATGCTATGAAGCTGAGAGAAGGGGCAGCAGTCGGAGGGTCTCTCTTCAGAGCATGAACTCTTAACAGCACAGGAAAGTGGTTACCAAGACAGAAATCTACAGGGACCAAAAGAAAGTCTAATTCTGGGCCCTGACCACACCAGGCTGCGCCTGCCTTGCAGGAGGCAGGCTGCCGTGCCCTGTTGGTGAGTTCTCAGGAGCTGGCCCTCCCCACACTCGGTCAGTACTCCCAGGACTCACCTTCCTAGCAGGACACACTGCTACTTTTTGGCCACCGCAACTCGAAGTCTGGCCCAGCTGGGCAGACAGATATAAACAGGGAGTGCCCGCATTTCTGGCTGGTCCAGCCTTTCCTTGCTTCTGTCCTGGGTGCAAAATAGGAGTAACGCTGCTGCGCTGGGGCCCATGGGGACCGAGGCAAAGGAGGGCGGGGGAGGCTCAGAGAAGCTCCCCAGACAGCCTTCACCTCCAACTGCACCTCTCCCCAGCACCCCTCAGGAACCTACAGCTGCCCCAGGGAAGCTGCAGGAATGCAGTCCTGACCTGGCTGGAGCTGACGGCCAGCCCCAACGACAGCACTGAGCCACTGCACCCTGAGTGTGCGGGAGCCACAGTGGGCAGGGCACTTTGCCCGCACAGGGGGCCTAGCCCTCCCCACAGCTTCCACGCCCCAATGCCTTAGAGCAGGGCTCCACCCTCCTGCTGCCACAGCCTCTCCCTCCAGACAGCCTTTCCTCTGCCAAAGGGAGCCCCAGGCAGTGCCTCCTGGGAGGCTGGTTTGGGGGGTGGAGTGTGTCCAGGTTCCTTCTGAATGAGGAGGGCCGTGCTCAGCACACAGTGGGGAAAGGCCTGCAGGGAAAGGTGCCCTGAGCCCACTGAGCCTGGCCACGCCCTTCTAGTGGTGGCTAAGAGCCCAGAGGGGCCCCAGTGTGGACACAAAACAGCTTCATATGTTTTCTTTGGCCTGTGCACCATCTTGAGTAGGGGCACCCACCCAGTGACACAGGCCAGACCCCCAGATGGCTGAGAACTCACTGTGGAGACAGGGGGCTCCCTGAAGTGCCCCAGGGCCCACTGGGCTTTCCCCACAGCTGCCCACTGGGCCCCAGGGCCTAAGGGGCTGCCCCACAGCTGCCCATCTTCCTGCCAGCAGATGCCCAACACCCAAAGCTCAAAGAGATCCAGATGCCCGCTGACAGGGGCCCCTGGCCCCTGGGACTGCTAGCAGGATGGCTCAAGGGAGGGGAGATGGCAGAAGGGGACTGCGTAGGAGGGGAGGGGGCAGGTGAGCAGGCTGCCCAGGCGGCTGGAGGCCAGAGAAGGGCCAGAACGGAGGCCCCAGGCAAAGGAAGAGTGGAGGACAGAGAGGGAGGCCAGGCAGTCAGGGGGGAGGGAGGGAGGGGAAGGGGGGCTGGCAGAGCAGGGGACGCCAGGGTGTCTGTGCAGGCAGCAGGCTTTATGGGCTCCAAAGTGAGAAGGGGACAGCTGGCGAGAGACGGGAACGTGGCTGGGTGAGGTGGGTGGAAAATAAAGTTCCCACGGCCGGCCGGGATCCTCACCTGACCATTAATTACTTGATGATGTAACTGGCCTACTGCGAGGCAAAGGCCCCCACACCCGCTGGCAATGAGCTATTACTGACTGAGTCACTATATAAAAACCTCTGCCCTGCTCTGGGAGGAGGCAGAGACAGAGGTGGATTATGCGCCTGGAGACTGCTGGATACAGACGTGATCCTACTGCTCCATTTACCACCATGAGAATAAATGTGAGTATAAACCCTTTCACCACAGGAACATTTTGTTGTCATTTGAATCCACAGTGAACTTGCCCGGGGCTGAACCCCTCAGGCACGACAGGTGGGAGAGCGGGAGGGAGTTCCAGGTGGGGGGCCCGAGTGGGGGCACCTGAGTAAGGGTAGAGGGGAAGGGGGAAGAGAAGGGAGAGGGGGGCAGGGAGTGGGCCAGGGGTCAGGGTAAGAGCAAGGCTGCGCTCTCTTCCTCCAGCCAAGGAACGGAGTAAGAGCCGGGAGGGGATTCTGAGTTCTGCATACGTCCCGTGACCTCACAGGCAGGGAATTCCAGGGAGAGAGAACCAGAAGCTCCGCCTGCTGCACCCCTGTGCCCACCGCAGAGATGAGGGAACCGAGGTCCGGGCGGAGACGACCTGCGGCGGTGCTCAGGCTGCAACCAGGTGTGTTTGTCCCAGGGCAGGGCCGCTCTACAACCTGAACCAGCCCATATGAGACCCTGGTCAGCATCTGGGGACCCTGGCTTCCTGCCCCGTCACTGCCTGGGAGCATGGTTGATTGATGCTCCAGACTGGCACCTCCTGCCCAGGCACACCCTCCCTCTCCCAGCAGTTCCTTCATGGGAAGGGTCAGGAGGCTCAGCCAGTCCCTGAGCTTGGGTGTCTGGGAAATGTCTGGGCTCAGGAATTTTCTGGAACAGTTTGTCTCTGGACATCCCTGGTCCAGCAGGGCCAAGGCAAACAGAGACAACAACGGAGTGTTTGCCAGGAAGCAAGAGTCTCAGAGTCCCCCCGGGGTCATGGGCGAGGCAGGCGTTGGTGCCCAAGGCCACTGCCCCCAGGCCCAGGAGGAAGGGCCCTGCTGACAGGCCAGAAGCCTCTCTGGGAGACAGCTCCTGCCATTCATCTCTCACACAGCATTGGTCATCCCTGTGCTATCTGGACCCCAGGAATGGCCCCAGGGACACTTCCCAGGACAGTCCTGGAAGTCACCTAAGTCTGGACACGGGACTGGGACAAACCTGACGTGGGAAGGGGAGAGTCAATATCCTCACCACGGGGCTGAATGATTAACAACAAAGCTTGACACCCAAGACCAGGAAACTGTTTCTGGGGTCCCGGGGGACTCACCTCTCGAATCCTGCCGACCCTCACGTCCTTTCCTCTATATGCTCGTTTTCTAGCAAATGCCCAAGATACCCGACTGCCATCAGGCCATCCCTGTCAGATCCCATCATGCCCTCCCCCATCTCCTTGGTCTCTGAGCCTGTTGCAGCAATGCTTCAGGCCCTGGGGCCACCATGCTTCCCACTCCACCAGCTCCTAGCAGCCCCCACCCCCTCCCATCCTCACCTGCCTCATTAAAAGTCTCCCTTGGCTGTTGAGAGAGGCCCAATGCCTGCTCCACAGTGAGGGAGCAGAGTCCTCGGGGAAAGTGCAACTGGGCCCCAGGCAGGATGTGGGGTCCCAAAGCCACGATGGCAGAGGCACTGCTCCCCCTGCCCTGGTGGACACAGGGGCAGCGGGTCCAGCCTCCCAGCACCCGCAGTGGCCCAGCTTGGCAAGGCAGCACCTGCCTGACCCCCGTGCACCTAAGGATGGTGGGGAGCCATCAGGCGCCCCCTCCAGTCAGCACTGGGGGCTCTACATCAGGGGCCACGCAACGATCCCTGAGCCAGGGCCGGGGGAGGAGGCGAGCAGGGAGGAATTAGGTGGTTAGTGCAGCCAGTGGGAGCCGCTGGCCCAGGCTGTCAGGGCAGGGCTTTTCCCGATGTCAAGTACAGATCCAGGAAGCCCCTGGGTCCTGGATGCTGAGCCCCACCCTCCCCACCCTTCTGCAATCCTGGGGAAAGAGAAGAACCCTGACTTAAGCAAGACTAAGGGTCCTCCAAACAGTAATCAAGTCCTGGAACAAATGAAGAAGCTAGAGCCCATTACACCTGAGGTTATGACCTGGGGTGTGACCCGCCTCATCAGAGGGAAGGCTTGGACCCCGGGTGCTGTACCCGCAAGTTTAGAGGTGAAAGGAAGCAAGCTTACAGAGGGGAATGGGGGGACTTGGCTTCCAGCAACCACTGCGGTTAGTCCACAGCGGAGATGACTATGGTGTGGCACGAGAGTGAGGGCTCAGAGTGAGAACGAGAGTGGGCGTGGGAACGCCCCTGAGGGTGACTCCATGCTCAGGTCAGGCGGGCGCGTGTCTCAGCCAGAGGTGGAGACGGCCATCAGGAGAGGAAAGGATATGACTGAATGCCCCGTCACACATGACCCTGGGCTTGCTCATCATGACCTCTCGGGCGCAGGTGGGGGGGGGTGGTCCCAGAGCTAAAGGCCGCCCACTGCCTGTGCTCAGGAGGCCCTGATGCCCTGCAAGTGGCAGCCCTGTGCTGGGCCCTACGGAGGCAGCGAGGAGCCGAGGTGCTGCTCCAACCACAGGCGTGCCTGGTCGAGGAGGCAGATACCGAGGAGATAAGATGCCTGTACCCTCCTCCGGGAGACAGGAGCCAGCCCTCTCCCCTCCCCCAGCCTCTCAGCGGGGAACGTGCACCTGCTGGCCCAGGCCCTGGGTCACAGACAAAGGAGGACAGAGAGACTCAGGGAATCTGTGACAGAGACAGTGGCAGGAGCTTGGGGAGATGGAAGCCCTACTGCCTAAACTGGGGAAGGGGGACTGGGTGGTTGGGATTTGCGAAAGTGAGAGAGACTGAAAGAGTGAGTTCTGGGAGGCAGCTGCGTTCTGTGTAGAGTGCACTTCAAGGGTCAGTGGGGAGAGGATTTCAACTTTTCACCGGGCCTTGAGAATGTACTCCCAAGTGATTCAGTTTCCTCAACAAACCAGTGACATAAAGAAAAGACAAGGGAGACTGTTCTAGAATGCAACATGTGCCCTCATTTGGGTCCTGACCTGATTCGAACAAACCAGCTGTAAAGACACTTTTAAGACTATTGAGATGGTCTGAGTATGGATGGAGTGACAAGTAATACAAAAAAATGATGTTTAATTTTGTTAGCGTGATGGTGGCATGGTGGGTGCATCAAAGTGTCCTTAACAGAAGAGATGCACCCTGTAATGTTAGGCTGAGCTGTCATGAAGTCAGTGGGGCTGGCGGTGGGGAAGCAATCCACAGAAGGTGGGCGGGAGCTGATGTGGCAGCTGCGCAGGGTATTCCATGGGCACGGTGAGGCCCCCCTGCAAGCCACCACTGGACTGGGCTGCAACGGGAAACAGGTTTCTGCTCTGACAGAGTCAGAAGCAAGCAGGTCTAGCCCCTTGGGGACCTCCTGGGCCTATTAGGGCCATGGTGGGTGGGAACTCAATGTGGTTTAGGTTTCACTGGAGTTCTTTGAGACATGATCCCAAACTGGAGAGCAGAACATCCTAGTCACATATTTTAGTGAACCCCAAAAGTAAGATTATCACAGGTTCATGCTTACCCTTGGCTGACCTCTAACCTGTTATCAACTTTCCCATGGTGACTTCGGTGTACTCAACTTCCCAATGGCCCCATCGCCTTGGCCACAAACAGACCAACACACCCACCCCTTTCACACCTCCAATCCAGAGAGATCCATTAGCTGTCAAATCAACACTGAACTATGAGCTCTTCGGGCATCTGCCTCTTTTGGTCTGTATTGCCATAGTTTTGCTGGTCATGGGACTACCTCACTGAGGTTAGTCCGTGTTGTTTTATGACTCTAGATGTGAAGTGGGAAAGTGAGAGCATTGACACCAGTGATAAGAAGCAACAATGCAGACAAGACCGAGATGGAAATCATGATAGGTACCGAAGCAGCCCACCCTGAGCCTCAGTCAGCTGCCCCTTGGACGTAAGCCAGCCAACCACTCCCCAGAGTGGACAAGAACACAAAGAGCACGTGTGCAATCATGCAGACTGAGCCTAAGCTGCAAACTGTCACTGGGGATGTTGTTCTGTTTTCAACTCAGCGGGAAACAGAATCCATCCCACTCTCCTTACGCTTTTCCTACTAATACTGAGTCTATTTATTGTTAGACTTGATTCAGTGCTAATTTTTTTTTCAGTTCACTGTACTATTTGCAACCATGACAACATCAAGTAATATAATTTTCCTTTCCCTCCTTTCCAATACTCTATTTAAGAGAAAAAAACATTTTCCTCCTTCAATTATGTAAACCAAAAAAGAGTTTTTAAAAAAACAGTTCACCGTTTCTCCCGACCCTCACCCCCTGCCTCTGGTAACCATTAATCTTTTCTCTGAGTTTTGAGCTTGGTTTTTTGTTTGTTGTTGTTTTTTTTTAGATTCCATATATAAGAGAGATCATAGGGTGTTTGTCTTCCTGTGTTTGACTTATTTCACTTAGCATAATGCCCTTGAGGTCAATCCATGTTGACACAAATGGCAAGATTCATTCTTTTCTATGGCTGAGTAATATTCCATTATATCATTGTGTATATATACCACATCTTTATCCATTCATCCATTGATGAACACAGGCTGTTACCATATCTTGGCTATTGTAAATAATGCTACAGTGAACTTAGGAGTGCATATATCTTTTTGAATTAGTCTTTTTCTTCTCTTTGGATAAATAGAAGTGGAATTTCTGGGTCATATGGTGGATCCATTTTTAATTTTTTGAGGAACCTCCATGTTTTCCATAGTGGTTGTACCAATTTACATTCCTGCAAACAGTTCACTAGAGTTCCCTTTTCTCCACATCCTCACCAACACTTGTTATTTCTTGTCTTTTCAATACTAGCCATTCTAACAGGTGGGTGTGACATCCCATTGTGGTCTGACTTGCACTTCCCTGATGACTAGTAATGTTGAGCATCTTTTCATGTACCTGTTGGCTGTCTGTATGTCTTCTCTGGGGACATATCTAATCAGATCCTCTGCCCATTTTAATTGGGTTGTTTGGTTTTTTGCTGTTGAGCTGTATGAGGTCTTTATATATTTTGGATATTAGTCCTTTATCAGATATATGTCTTGCAAGTATTTTCTCCCATTCAGTAGGTTGCCTTTTCATTTTGTTGA